CCCTGGTGAGGTACACACTGCCAGAAGCCATTTAGAATTCAGTGCCAAAAATTTTGTAATATATAAATTACTTGGTAGGGTTTTTTTTCCCCTGTGAAAGAGTTGCTATTGGTTTAATGGCTGAATTTACGTCAATGGAAGAAAAAAAAAGAATGAAAATATCTAGTCAGATAAAGGAATTTCATCTGTGGTACCATACCCTGTAATTGTTTTCCTCTGAAAGAAAAGATTCTAAAACCTAAGAGTCACCTTTTGGCAAAATACTCTAGGATATTTTTAACAACTATGCCTTAAAATAATTCTTTTTCCATGGGCAAAGAAAAAGATCTGTTTTGAGCCTCTGAACACATCACTGGAAGAACTCAATTTCCTCTTTGTGTGCTGAGGACACCTGCCTCCAGTCGTGACAAGAAAAGTGTGGTTACAAAGAGGTGGGCAGCTATTACATTAGGCAGCAATTAGTTCCCTGGGACAGGAACTGAGAAAGCCAGGAATACATCAAATATGAGCAGATTTACCTCCCTAAATATCTGCTGCCACGGGCTGCTGGGGCTGTGTCCCTGCCAGCTGCATTGTCCCCTGTAAATCACACTGTCCCCTGCACTGATGCCACTCCATCACACACAGAATGCACTGTATTCACTTTGGGGACACTCTGTGAATACTGATTGGCAACGTTTGGCCCAAATTCTTATTCTTACTAATTGCAATTTACTTCAGAAACAGACCCACTGATTTTGCTTTCCCAGCACAGCAATTTTTCTGGTTCTCCCTTCAATACTTTCACACACTTATGCCCAACTTAGCTGCTGATCTCCAATATTTGAAGTAATTATCAGGTAATAAACTCTTAAATCAACTAGTAACTGGGAATGAGTGTCAGCTGACTGTTTTTTTTCTCTGAAATACAGTCTTTACTTCTTTATCAAGTATTTTCCACAACCACTCTTGCAATTTAGTAATTTTTTAAAGCCTGATTTTAATTTTTTCTAGTCATCTGTTTAATCATCTCTCAGAGACAACTGGGGACTGGCATCTGTGATGACTCTTGCTGCATCACTTTGCTGCTGCCAGCTCAGTATGTCTCACTATGCACTTTATTGCTGGCTATTAATTTTTAAGCTAGCTTTATGCTCCTTATTAACAGCTCGTTTCTCAAAAGAGAAAAATGATGTTGTTGCAATCCCAAGTTTTATAGAAATACAACATGAACATCTGAGAGGAGGGCAGAGGCTTGTTTCTGAGGGATTATATTTCCATCTCAAATTCCTTTCCCTCTTCTCTCTGCTGTTTGGGTAACACGTAATTTCAGTTTATAAAAAATAAATAAACCCACCAACCAGGGTACTGTCATGCATTATTCCTGAGGATGACAGAGGTTATTGGTCTGCATAATTTTCACACTGTCAAACTTCCTTTTTGCCTCTAAAAGGGAAGCCAATGTAGGCCACTTTTAATGAGGAGCCCTGTGTGTGCCTTTCCCCACATCCTGCACAGCAACTGGGCATTTACAACTTCATGTTCTCCCTGCATCACCACCATATTTTGTCTTCTTTCTACAGGGCTGACTTTTGTCCACAACACTGGGCACTTTCATATGGTGAAATCTCTTGGCTGCCTCATTAACTCTGAATCAGTGTGTGCCCTTGCATTTTACTGTATCATTTCCTCCAGCATTCATTTTGCTGCAGTTAGCCTCTAGCTAGAAACTTCTTAAAACATGATGAAATTACTTGCTGAACAACATACAAGTCAATTAGAAGGCAATTAAAAGATATACTAATCTATTCCCTTGTTTGGTCATGGCATCTTGGTTAAGATCATGCAGTGAATTCTCATTTGGTATCTGTGAAATCTTCTGCTATAAATTGTAAGCTCCTGTCCACAGCACCTGTTTTTCTGTGAAACACACAGGAATTAGAAGAGCTGCTGTCTTTAGCTTTGCAAACACAAGGAATTAAAGTGGTACAAGCTGTGTTGAATCTAGGGTTTCCTCTCTGCAGAGCTTCATTCCCCAGGTATTTCAATGGGTTTGTTATTGGGATGGGAGAATTTGAAAGGAACCTGGCACCTGCAGGTGTATGCTCTCTCCTGGCTGGCCTGCATACTGGACTCCTGAATATTCCTGCAAGGGAAGAGTTAAACTCCCTAGACTCCACTCTGCCTCCTATCTTTGCCTTATTCTCTTTCTATTCCATTTGCCTCACCACCCCCATGTGCAGCATCCAGACCCTCCTCTCCCCAGGGGCTGAGGCAGAGGCAGTGAGTGTTGCACTGAGCTCCTCTGCCAGCCAGGCTCACAAACTGAGTTACCAATAAATATTGGTACCCTAAACACCTTTAAACACATGGCTCAGCAGTTCCCTTAATCCCCACCTTAAACCCACTGCTAAATCCTTCTGCTCCCCTCTGCCCTGCATCCCAGATGTGGGGACAAGGGACAAAGAGGAGACGGGGACAGGCTGTGCCTGCTGGGAGGAGAGAGGATGGCACTGAAGGACAGGGCACTGTGAGGGTCTGGACCTTTGGGGACAGCAACAGCTGCCTGAGGAAGCCACTCCTGCAGGGTCACAGCCCATCAGGTCAGGGCTGCATCAGGAGGGAAGAGCTCATCGGGGTGACACTGCCCAGCCTGCCCTGCCCTGCCTCAGCTCAGCTCTCAGCAGCTCCAAGCTCCTCCTCACATGGCAGCTCAGCACTGCCCAGGGTGACAGGCTCAATGCTGCAAGGAAAATCAAGCTTATGCAACCAGGTGATGACCAATATTTATATTGGTGAAGTACCCTATATTCTTGATCACTTCAAAATATTTTTATCATTAGTATGTAATGTCAACATAAGGTAAAAAAAAGAACCCCAAATTAATCCAACATCTTCATACAAGTTGGATTTACCTGAAATTCCTCTGCAATGTGAATCATACATGTTTGTCTAAAATAAACTGTTGGAACAGCCCCTTTGCAGAGCAGACAAGGATGGAGAGTTGTAAAAGATACACATCCTTCATCACTGCCTTCCTTCTAGGACCAAGTCCCTACAATTACTTGAGCTTCAGCTTTTCTGTCCTTAAATCAGACATAACTTATGCCCACAGTGATGCTGTCACATTAATCCATCTGGTATTTGCCAGCACATGGAAGACTGTTCTAATGAGATGTACAGAAAGCAGGACACCATCATCTGAAGCATCTATATTCTTCCTTACAGTTCTACCCAGTTTCATTTCTGCCTGGAAAAGTAGGTCAAAACACTAAACAATAGTTTGTTTGAGGGAAAAAATGCAACTTTTAACTTCTTTTGGCACAAACATTGTTTTTTCCCCCCAGTTAGCACTCTTAAGATGGACAGGCAGGGTCACAGGACTCTCCAGAGGTGAGCATGAAGGTAACATCTATTCTTGACCTGTTCCTTAACCAGCAAAGATTCAATAGAAGAGGAATAATTTATGTGGCCAGCAATTGATTCTTGCTTGGGAAGCCCCAGGGGAGAATTCTAATCATGGCAAGCTCACCTTCTTCTGGGACACATTAAAACAAGGGACAGGGGGTGAATGTTCCCTCTGAGTGTCTCCTGAGCAGGTGGCAGAGCAAAGCTTGGGTGCCCAGCTTGTTTTCTGCACACATTTTACAGTTCTGGGCAGGACCTCTGGCTGTGGCCGCACGCTGCCCCTGCAGTCCCCCCCCCCCGACACACTGTAATTACTTTGTTTTCATTAATTGGTCTTAATGCATGCATGCACAGCCACAAATCAAGCCAGCCACTGCTGTGAGTGCAGCAGCTTTGGCTTGGAAATTGCACTTGCCAGGGCTTGTAAAGCCACCAGCCCAGCAGCAGCCCCAGCACAAGGAAATCTGGGGGGCTCAGCTTCGCCCAGGGCTGTGTGTGCAAACTGCAGAATTCCTGGGAATTAACTCACTGGCACAAACAGCTTCCTGATGGGGAGATATTAATGCTGTACTGGTGTCAATGAAACATTACCATCAATTAAAGCAGGCAGTATGGCAGATTTATAAGCCAATATGTAACCAAATATAGCACAGGAGATGTTTGGAAAAACAAGTATGTGAAACAGGCATGACAAATAGAAAAGCTTTATTAAGGGATGATTTCTGTGATCTCTATCTCCCAGAACAGTGATATTTTAACATCCTTATCCAAACAGGAACACAGATAAACAGGCTGTAAACTCATCTTGTTACCCTGTGGTTTGTGCTCTGACAGAAATGACCGATGATTGTTGTACATGAGCAAAATGTTTTCATTTATACCTCTGACTGGGGTCTGCCAGGGGAAAGTTGTCACCCATCAAGTGACTTTGGAGGGACTAATCAGAGGGATAAATGTAGTTTGTAATAAAAACAGTTGTCTGAGCAACCTATTCAGACCAATTGATTTGGATTCCTATAGCAAATACCTGAGCACACTCTCTGGTAATGCGAAACAAATTAACAAAAAAGATTGGGGGAAGAGCCTTCGTGCCTAACTTGTCACCTAAGGCTGATGAAGTCCAGTGCCAAAGCTTAAGAAAATTAAGTACTAAATAGTTAATTTTTTTTTACTTACTTAATTATTACTAAACAATACTACTAAATTAAGTAGTAAATAGTTCAGCCAAGCAAAAGCAAAAATGCAGCTGACATTTACATTAAAAGCTATAGTCTTCATCCACCTGTCTCCTTTTTCCTTTAAAAAAGAACATTTTTATCACCAAAAAGGCCTCAGCCTGATATAGGTGAGTGTTTCAGATACCATGCTACTGACTCAATTTGGACACCTAAAGTTCTCAGCTCGCTTATCATGAAGTCAAACTCATCAGAAATAAAATCAACTAAGCAGGGCAAAATCACTTTTAGGGTGCCCTGTGTTTTTCCAATTATCACTGTAAATCTCCTTGGTGGATTATATAAAAAAGGAGTGTTTATAATATTAAATGAGCCCCAGAGTGTGCTCAGGCAGGGCTGACATCCCACACTGTGCACACACCAGGTACCAGCTCCTACCTTGGCTCCATCCACGCTGATTATCCGGTAGCTGTTCCTCGTGCTGTCGTAGAAGTAGGAAACAGTCACAGCCTGCTTGCTGGCAGGAACCCAGTTCTTCTTCGTGCTGGGGTCAATCTGGAAGACATGGGCTCTGGTGGTGAAGATGGGCTGTTCTCTGGAATAGGAACAGGAGAAAGGGATGTGTGAGTCTGTGGAAGGTGAAACATCCCAGCAGCCCAGCCCGAAAGCACAGGGCAGAGAGCACCTGGCAATGCCCCAAAAGCAAAGACAGAGCAGTGACACTGCCCAGCCACACTCCAGCCTTGAGCACCTCTCCTTGACACCACTCAGTGACATTCAGCATCCTAAAGTTACTGCCATAGCCCAAGAAACAACTGGCTTCTTTCTCCCCATGCTAAATGACCTCAGTACCCATCTATTCCTCACAATACTTATTTCCAGGAAAGGACATTCACATGCATTCTTTCTTTCTTTCCCCATTCTCATATTTTGCCAAAGGCGGCAAACCCCCACAGCTGGATTTACCCCTGCTGCCATTCTGTGAAAGCAAACCCCCACAGCTGGATTTACCCCTGCTGCCATTCCTGTGAAAGCAAAAACCCCACAGCTGGATTTACCCCTGCTAAAATTCCTGTGAAAGCAAAAACCCCCACAGCTGGATTTACCCCTGCTGAAATTCCTGTGAAAGCAAACCCTCACAGCTGGATTTACCCCTGCTGAAATTCCTGTGAAAGCAAACCCTCACAGCTGGATTTGCTCCTGCTGAAATTCCTGTGAACTGCTACCCACAGCCAGGGCTCCTGTGTGGGTGCACCAAGCACCCCAGTGACACACAGGCATGGGATAATTACTGAAATATTCATCTCTCTCCTCAGAATCCCACTGTTCTGTGGATGTGCATGAAAATTTCATTAGATGCAAACCAGTCAATCAACCTGGGAAGTGAGAGGGAAAGGAAACTGAACCAAACTCCAGTGTTGATGCAGATACTGCCTTTTCAGCTCTCAGTGGGTGATGCAGCACCCCAAAATCCTGTTCCCAAACACCAGCTTCTTTCTCCTCAATATTTGTGCACACAATGGAGGGGTTTTGTTTTACCTTTAGTGTTTGACCAAGCAAATCACACAGAAAAGTAGAGAAGACTCAGGACCAAAAGAACCAAATGTGATACATACAAAGTCATCTAGGTTAAAGAGCAGAATTAAGCCTTTCTTAAATGCCATAAAACTAAATTCACCACCAACTATTTAACTTTAATCCAAGTTTAGCAGCAGAAGTGAACAGCAAAGCAAGCTCTACTGAGTTATTAAATGCATTTTCATGCTTTTGGTTTTTAAAAGCTACGTTATATAATGTTTTATATTAAGTGTACCACTCAATATATTCTTGTCCCATACAAAATATTACATCATGAATAGGTAATTGACAGAATTACTACAGGATCCAAAACCAATGGTACTGCAATGGAGCTACCACCCAGAAATTTAAATTAAAATCGAGGGCAGTAAATTTGCAAATATCAAACAAATGAAGTGATTTAAGAGTACAATTATCTCAGGAAATATGGAGTAAACTTGTAAAGCCCAGCAAGGCCTCAGGAGGGAGAAAATGAAAGAGTGGTTTTCTCCTTGCAAGACTTGCACAAAGTTCTAAATTTTTCCAGGGGCTTGCAGGTTTCTGGACAGACAGCTGTGCTGAACCATGTAAAATACTTACTCAAAATACATTGAAATGACAATGGGACTGTCATATTACAGCTGTCAGAGTAGCATTTGCTTCAGTTCTCCCTTATCAGTACCTTGCTGAAGCCAGCTCTCATTTCACAGGCCAGTATTGACGCCATCCTCAGCTGGGTGGAAAGAAGGGGCAGCCTTCCTTAACACTTTAAACACTTTCCTTATCCATTACACAGGATTAGCATTGTAACACCTACAGAGGCCATGGAGTTTGCCTGTAATAAATTCAAGGAGGGGAAGTTTCCCCCAAGCTGTTTACTCTCTTTGAAAATGTACATTACTTGAAAAAATATTTTTGGAATTTTTTTGCCTTTAAAAAGTTCTGTAGTTGACTCTACTAAAACCAAGGTAGTACAACCCAATATTTTACTCTAAATGCTAGAATTTTCCTCCATAAAAACCTATTCCACAAACAACTTTAATTCTGTTACATTATCCTAACTACACCAGAAAACCCTGTTAGAACTGTGCCTGGCTGCTCTGCAGCAGGGGCAGCAAGCATATAAAGTAAATATGGAGACAATAAAAGCAGAATGAAGGCAAAGTCCCCACTATTATCTACCTATTTGTTCAGGAATCTTGACTGAAGCTGCTGCTGTTGAAACAGGAGCTGTACACATCTATCCAGGTGGATAAATCAATGGATAGTGAAGCTCGAGGGTGCAAATATCCATATTTCCATTCATTCTTTCATTAAGAAATAAAGGCAAAATCTCTGTTTCTATTCCTATGATTATCAACAACAAAAAAGCCCACCTGCATTTTGTCTTTCTGTGTCATAGTGATAAGCGTGCTAGTTGATAAATTATTAAAAAATAAGAAAATGCAATGTGCAAACTAAAACATTTTAAATAATTTGAGGCAGCTGATGTGTTGACCTTTAGTTATGACTCAGATTTGGAAGGGCCAGTGGGATGCTCCACATGCCTTTGGCCTTCCAGAGGTGCCTCTACAGGTCAGCAAAGCCCCCAGACTGATTTCTGATGCCCTGAACAAGAGGAAACACCCCCAGAACAACCTCCTGCATTTCCTGGTGCTGCCTTATAGTTATTAAGAAAAGAAGATGCATTTCTGTGTCTGTGTGTGCCCTGCTGCAGTTCTGTGCCCCAAGGAGCCCAAAGAGCCCACGATTCAGCTGGTGCCACCACGTTCCCACAGGATGGCAAAGCCACCAAACTCCAGGCACAGCTTCAGCACAGGGGAAACACCCACTGCATCCCAAACCCCTCTAACCACTGAAGCACACTCAGGCAACTGCAAAACTGTGGCACTCAATTTTCAAGGGAAATGCTAAATTAGATACTTTTAAAACCCTTCACCCTACAAAGCTCCAAATTGAGAATGATCATTCTGCCTTACTTGTAACTTTTCTACATTCAAGAAAGCACTTTACTGGTAAAGGAATGACTTCATCTCCCAGGGTTCCTTTCCTTTCCATTTTATCAGAGGTTTATCAGCTTTTGTGATAAACTAACAGCAATGCAAACCTGAGACTGCAGAGCACACCGTGCCTGTTTGAGCCCTGTGAGCTGCTCCTTGTGTGAGCTGCCAGCTTGCTTGGGGAGCAGCAGCGCTGCCAGCCAGGCTTGGACCCTCACTTGAAGGCAAAGGGAATTTATGAATATTTAAAATCTCATGAATTTTAACCAAAGTTGTTAATGATTGATTAAATACTCTTTAAAAAAACCCAACTGTTTAAAAATCAATTTGACAGCAATATCCACTGCTCAGAGTAAAGCTGCTTGAAAAGTCAAACAGGAAAAGTAGAAAATCACACCTAATAATTCTTTATCTAGTAATATAATTTAAGACAGAAAATGCTTTTTCATTATTATTAAATCTGGCAAGCATGTTTTATAAATATAACTGCAATTTTCAAGTCATGGTTTTACACATTTTAGTCAACCTTTAATTTCTGTCCTTGCTTCATAAGAGCAAAATCTCATGTAAAAAACAGCCACTCTCCTCCAATGTCATTAACCTTTTCCAAAGAATTTAACAAGCAAGCCACAAGATTCTCGAGCTAACCAAGTGCTTCACAGCTGTGTTAGATACAGTATCACTTTCTGGTTAATATGCAACCATGCCAAATTTCACAAGTGTGCGACTAGCTGCAAGCCATGTGTTTTGTATTACCCTTCCTAATCAATGGCAATGAGCTCTCACTTAGGAGAAGTTCAAATTATTTAATTCAAATTTCCTTGTTTATCACTTGAATCATGAGCACAACCAGTGATTTAAATCACTTCAGCTGTAAAGAGTCCCTGCTGGTGGCAGCCAGCATCCTCTGGGCTGTGGGATGCTGGTGGCCGAGGGAGCTGTGACACAGCCAGCTCCAGCTGGTGGCACCTGGGACAGCCAGGGATCCTGGATGCTGGAACCAGCTCCAGACCAGGCACTGATCACTGAACACTTCTGTGCTACAGCAATCCTTCCTGCTAGTAAATAAAACAAATAAAACTCCCTTGGGATCAGCACCCAGACATGTTCAAATGTACCAAGTGCCCAGTGCACATCAGGGGGATGCACTGGCCATGAAGAAACTGGGACAAAATAATCTTTGTAGGATCTGGAACATCAAGTATGTTTGTGACAGAAGCTCTGGTACTTCACCAGAGGCAAAACCACTAATTACACATTTTTTAAAACTTTCACTAGCAGATCACTTAACATCTCTGGGATAAGGATTTCTAGTTTACAGCCCAGGATTATTTGTGCTCTCTCCACACTAACTGTAGACAACTTTGCATTAACTGCCCAATTGAAATAAAAATATTTTTTAAAAGCACATGTCTTCATATATCTGCCATTTGGTGGAGGATGCAGATGTCTGCAGAGATTTTGGAACGTGGTACTTCCTGCTGCAGCCCAGCATCATGCACACGTTGAGTTTATCATACCTGACAGTGCCAGCAGATCTGCAGTGATTTGCTGTAACAAGTATTAGATAATGAGGATCTCTCAAGAGAAAAGAGTAGAAGCAAATGCAAAATCCTACTTTGTGACATATCCCTCATCACTGGTCATGAAACAAAAATCTGTATTTGCTAAACACAATATGATAAAATTGGTGCCAAGTTATTTAGATTGAACATTGCTACTACTGCCTGTACTGAAAAGAACTAATCCTCTATGTACATATATTGTAGTTTGCAGTGCCATTTGTATTTATTCAGATCATGGATGGAGATTTTTCTCCTATTTGAAATACTCATCTTGATGTAAGTCCAGGCCCATTACAATGCCTAAAAATTACCTGTGAAAACAGTTTATGTATTAACTCTTCTCACTTGTGTATACACGCACATCTCAAACTTGGAAAAACAACCAACCCCTCTCCCCAGAACACCAAAACCAAAATAAAGGCAGACCTGGGATGATGACAGAGCTGCTGTGGGGAGAAGTTGCAGTTCATGGT